CCTTCACAAGCTTCTATCTTTTATACAAGTTTTCACAGTCACCTCTTGGTTGCGTGCAAGTTGGAGGCGCGCAACGTTATAAATTAAAAAAAAAAAATGTAACATCTTAACTTTAGGAAGCAGAGCTCTAGAGAAAGTTCTCCACAATACACTTGTTCCCAGCGAAAAAAGCGGCTGCATGGAGTTTATGGGATTTTCCCCTTGTATAATGTGAATACAAGCCAACTGCCTTTAGAATGCCTTCTACAAAAGTATTTTTTATAAGGTCAGGGCCTGCGCCAAAGCCAATTAACAAATCACAGGACAATAAAAAGCTTAGCACCGACCTTTTCTAAAGCAGATAGCTCTCGCGTGCTTTGCAGTACTTAATTAACCAATTGCAAAATGCCAGATGTGGCCGAGAGGGGTTGATTAATAAAAGATATATTTTTCTTTGCAATCAAAAATTTAATGGAAGTGCCCTCGAGTATAGGTACAACAAGAATCTCTTTAGAAATCTGGTCTGTTTCATTTTTTGCAGGTCGAGAAGTTCCTGTCTTCTTTTCAAATTTCTATATTAAAATTACTTGTAAACTAACCCTTCCAATTACGAAAATGTAAATAAACAAATAAAAATAAGAAATCCCCTTTTTTAGTTGGAACTTCTAAAAAGCGAAGTTTATCTGGTCTTTCTAGTTTATAACCATGCGGATGGTTGCACTTTGCTTTTGTTAAAAATATAAGACTAATTTTCACCATTGTACTGTTTAAAACCGCTAGTTTAATTATTTGCTTAAAAATGCGAATTATTGTCAAGCATTTCATGACAAATACTTAATTACATTTCGCTTTTCAGGCTTTAAATCCATAACAGCAGATAGTGACAGCATAAACTCAAACAAAAAAATTCGATTTCAGCTCCTCTCTTGAAGGAAATGGTATTTTTGTTTAAAAAAAGTACACATGTTTAGCAATACCTATCTAGCTGCTATATAGCTGGTCTTACTCAAATAACCTCCCACCTTGCAATTTGTAGGATACCTATAAATTGCAACAAAAGTTATAAATCAAGTCTATTGGGAATTTTAACACGTCTGCCAGCTCTAGTAACAAAATCTTGAACTTTGGGTGAGGAATCATCATCTTCGCTGGAATCTGAATCATTAGCTGCAGGGCATAGAGGCATATTCGTAGAGGCCCTTTTCTCCCTTCGAGCATCTTGGGCAACGAATGGTAACTTTTCCGAACTGTTGATTTCTAACGGATAAAGTCTTTGGAATGGTCTCAACTTCTCTCCATCAGCTGTTTTCACTCTGGCAACTCTTGAGTGCCCATCTGCTCCAGAAAAGACTTTAATGACGATTCCTAAAGGCCAGTTGATACGCTTGCCATCAGTTTCTAAAAGAACGACCTCTCCAACTCTTAAAGATTCTTCCCGACTCTTACCTTTATGAATCAACATTGCCAAATACTCATTCCGAAATCTCATTCTTAAATCCTTCCTTAATTTTTGCACAAAACGCAATCTTATATTTAAACTTTTACTGTCAATTTCATCTAAATCGGTTGTTTCACTGCTAGGAATACTTTGTAAGAAACAAGCGGGAGTTAATGACTTCAGACCTTCAGAATTGTCTTCAAATATATGTAAGTGGCCTAGAGTTTATTGTAGCTTCGCAGTCACATAGAATAGTTTCCAACTCTTCATAGTCAAGACTTTTCCTTCCCAAAATTCTTCTTAGCATCTCTTTCAACATTCTAACCATGCGCTCCCACCATCCTCCCCACCAGGCGGCTGTTGGAGGGTTAAAATTGCATTTTATTTTCTTGATAGTAGAAAACGACATGATCTTCTCCCAATCTAAATTTCTTAGAGCATTGCTTGAACCAATCTTTATTATGTTCTTAGGAAGAGGTGCAAAAGGTGGTTCTGTAGGTTTGGCTTTGAATCTTTTACATGAAATACAACTAGAGCTAACTTGTTTCGCTAATCTATTGATCGAAATAATCCAGTAATCTTCTCTTAAATTGGCAATCAGAGTTCGAAGTCCTACATGTTGTAGTTCACAATGCTTTTGCCTTACCAGTCGATGAATAATCTCATGGCTTTCGGGCAACAATATGGGACACTTGAAATTTTCCTCTTCATCTCCCAAGAGAAGCTTTGTTCTGAGTCGAACAATATTATTTTCGTCTCTGAATGTTTGCATATTCTTCAAGATTTTCATTTTTCTTCCGGCAAAACTTTCCTGCTGAATTAATTTTAGCAAACAGTGTTCTGCTGATTGAACTTCTTCATAAGTCAACTCAGTTTTCTTAAGTTTTTCTTTTCGTTGGCAGTTTTTAATGAAACGAAGTATCCAGGCAAGCATTCTAAGAATCTTCGTATATTTCGAGAAATAAAGTAAATTGTCAGTGAAGTTAACTGATCCATGCTCCACATTACTGATTATCATTTTTCTCTCCTCTGATCTAACCAAATTTTCATCAATGACTTGATTTATAACTTTTGTTGCAATTTATAGGTATCCTACAAATTGCAAGGTGGGAGGTTATTTGAGTAACACCAGCTACAACTCAACTCTGTTTTAAGTTTATGTTTTTGAAAATAAGTTCTATCGTTTCTGTAAGAATAACTGCTTCTAAATGTTTTCAGACGTTACCCCTAAAGTCTCTAATGCTCGCAGCTGAGTCTCCAATTTATTATAAAGAATCCGCAAAGTAAAAATTTCGCCACTTTTCGCTTGCGTTAAAACTAGATTTAAATGTTCACGAACATAAATTTGAATTAATAGTTCCTCTTTAGCAAAACGAGATTTCAGCTGTTCAATAGCATTATAATAGTTTTCGCCAAATGGTGGAAAACTTGCAGCTAAATCTCTAGCCGATGAACCTTCTTCAGTTGCCTGTAAATAGATACTGAAAATTATCATCTGCATCAATGCTATCATCATTATGAATCTTTTTTAATTGTCCCCAGAATCCTAGCCAGTTTTTAATATTACCATCAAAACGTTTCAATTCTAACTTAGGAAGACGGAAATTTCGCTTGGTTTCATTTACTACACTGGAAATATCGCCCTTTCTTTCAGTGGTTGGTAACATTAAATCCACTTTCGTTTTCATAGCAACCCACTGATTTCGAAAGCTTTTCGTTAACTCCATATCATTAGAAAATTCCTTTTCATTAAAATTTTCCATTTCTAGCCATTTTACTTTAACTTTTTCATCTAACTGAAATAGTCTGTCATCTTTATCATTAAATATATTAAATACAGATATCAAATCAATCTTACTTACTGCTTCATCTTTTAGAACAGTGTCCACTTACTTCTTTCAAAGAAGTTGTGAAATATCGCCGTAATTGTGTTCTTTCCCGTTTTAAATTTTCCATAGTCCTGTTCCATGGACACCAATATTTTAAAGGATTCGAAAATAATTATGGATTTAATATGAAAAAACACTTTAATTACAGATATTTCCAAAAAATTTAGAAGCAGTTATTCTTACAGAAACGATAGAACTTATTTTCAAAACATAAACTTAAAACAGAGTTGAGTTGTAGCTGGTCTTACTCAAACAACCGGTAAGCAAATTCACTGGGACTGATTGAAAAAAATTCAGTTCTAAAATTTTGTAGACGGGTCTATATGTAAGTTTAACTCAGAACTGTTTAAACCATCTTTACGCAATCAGAAGAACCGATATTACCTTGTTTCCCTGTGCAGTTTTTTATTTGTCTTCGTAAGGAATTAATTATTTTGCGTGAGTAGAGCGTTTTTTAGAAGAACAGAAAACAATTGATTCAGATGAGCAAATACTTGTAAAAGAATTTTAAGAATGAAAATTCTTTCGAGCATCTGAAAGATATTTACATTTTAGACTGGAAGAAATGTGCATGTAATCGCCTAAAATGCAAAAAAGACAAAAGCACTTGCTATTGAAAAGGGTAACGTCGGCATATCATTTTATAAAAAACTTTCCGAAGCCACAGCTAACGCTAAAACTTTGGGACAATAGGAATTAGTTTTACTTAAAAGGGGTTAAGTCGCGGTTAAAAAAAAAAAAAAAAAAAAAAAAAAAAAAAAAAAAAAAAAAAAAAAAAAAAAAAATTATAGCATTAGGAATTTTTTACAATTTCATTTAGTTATCATTCAGACTGTTGCTCAAACGTACTTATTGTTTTAATTTAATTTGAAAACTTTAGATTCGAAACCATTTTAGAAAATGAAAAGAAAGAGAGGAAAAAGAGAGAAAAGAAAAGTGAGGGAAAAGAAAAAGAAAGCGGGGGGGGAGAAGAATCGAATGGCAGAACTGACAAAAAATAAGCTCTTCTGATAATTAAACTCATATTTATTATCTTGATTATCTTCCGAATAGTAACAATTAAACGAAATAATATTAAAAATATTGACAAGGAGCAATAGAACACTGAGTCATAACATGAATGAAATTACCTTTTTTTACGTTACTCTTATTGCGACAATTATCAATGGTCCTACATATAAGTCTTAAAACGAGTTTTTAGCTAAAGCAGAACTTTAACTTCGTCATTTAAATCGTCTTTCTATTTCGTTGTCTTATTTTAACATTACTTTTAAGATTTAAATAGCCTTTCTCTTTAATTTTAATTTTCTTTATATTATTTCTTCTTTCTCTTTAATTTAATTTAATTTTAGCCTTTCTTTTGTTTAATTTTAGTTTTTTTTTTTTTTTTTTTTTCGGGCACTATCAACTTTAGGTTTCGGCTACTACTTAAGGCCAGAAGCGGTGACTATTTTACTATGGAGGCACCTAATAGGCGGCCACCGTTCCCTTCTGTGACGGGACAGATAATTTGCATCCATGCCTGCTCCGGGATTCGAACCTTTGGTACGGTAAGCAGAATCACTAACCACTTTCCCTTCTATGTAGGGGGAGGCGCTTTATTAAAATAACTTATGCAGAGCGACCGGTAAATGTAAGCACGGCCAGCAATGGTTATAATAGCTTAAACCTGGTAACCCAACGGATTCGCTTATTCGAAGATAGCAACCGTTCCTCGTAACGTTCTTTTTGGTTCCTGACCCCATTGTGTTCAATAATTTTGCATGTTGTAGCAACGCTCTTATTGTTCACCTTTGCACGTGTAATTTATTCTTCATTTATTTACTGTTATTTTGTCTGATTTCCACGATCTTTTCTGAATTTTTTAACAATGAATAGATGAAATTACTTTCGTTTCATTAAGGACGTTGTCGGAAACACATACAGTGGTGCGTCTTGAAAGATTATTGCCTTCATCGAAAACGTAATCGCAGCAAACAACAGATCATCGGAGATTTTGACACCGCTGATAAGGAAGCAAAGGGAACAACTATTATTACTGATGAATAACGGACATATTCATTCTTAGGCATGCAGGGGTATTATGTGCCTCAGACTGTTCAGCATTCCATAAATTTCGTAAATCCGGCAACTGGTGCACACACCCAGTGCGAAGAATCGAACGGTCGGCCTCTGAAAGTAAAATTTTTAAAAAAAGTCTTCTTAAGGAAAATCTAGTTGAGCACGTACTCGAATACCTATTTCGGCGTGATGTTAAACATATCGGCAAGATTCATTCACGGAAATTTTAAACTCAATTAAAAATTATATCCTTTGAGAGGAAACACGTCTCCGGCAATTTGCTTTTAATGGCACAAGTTTTTGGGAAAAAGTGAGTGGCCTTTTCAGGGCACAAAAATCTTAAATATTAATAAATAATAAAATAAGGTTAGGATTTTATATTTCGCTCAAATGGGCATATTTTTCATTTATAGACACATACATGTTTCGAAAGCTTTTGGGTTAACGCCACATTGGGCTAAAAGTATTTAAAAACAGCATGTCTTTAAAATTTCCGATAGACAGTCTCACGGCCCTGGAGATAAACATTTTTATTCCCTACAACGTTGCCACTACTCGCTTCGAAATTGTTGAGTTTTTTTTAATCAAAAATTCATTAAAGTTTTACAAAATATGAAATAGACAATGAAACAAATTCCCAATCAACATGGGCTTCCGGGTGCCCATGTTTAGATGCAGGACTATGTTATTCAAAATCGGATTACTCTAGGTACTGTTGTTTTTTCAGAGTGCGAGAAACATACATATAATTAATGTAGATTCTTCATTATTTATTTTCTTTAAATTTAATAAAAGACAATAATATTTGGTGGTAAAAATTTGAAAAGTGATTCGGACATCTAAAGTGATTCGATGGAAAATGGCCTTTTGAGACTAATAGCCCTTCTGGGCTAACGACCATTTGGTCTAAAAAGAAAAGTGTTACTGGTTGTAAATATACAAGTTTATTTATACTCTTTTATAATAACAGAATTAATAAGAAGTCTATTTCAATGATAAATATAATAACATTACTTTACTTTTTTATGCTAATCTTTACTTACATATATGCTTAGCATCATGCTTTTCTACCAACATGAATTTAATTGTATTAAATAACATGTTTAACCAGCTAATTTTTACTTGCATATGGTTAATGTCATGCTTTTCTGCAAAGTAAATTTACCTGTACTAATTTATCATGCTTAACAAGCTGAATTTGAATTGCATGTGCTGTATATGTTTAATCAGATAATTTTTAGCGAAATTTAACCTACATATGCAAAATATAATGTTTAAAGTGCTAATACGCTAACTTACTTATGCTTTATTTCATGTTTCAAAACTTAATCGTATTGCTAAAACCATCACCGTTGGCGAGCATGGCGTCAAAAAAAGTAGTGTTGCCAACGAGTTCTCTGCCGAAAAGAATCCAAACTTCTCTTATAAACATTTAATATAAATAAATAAATATATATATATATATATATAAAGGCCTTCATTCACTTTTTGAAGAAGCTATTTTTAACGTACTATGGTGTCTTAAGTCATACTTTATAAACAAATTTAAACTCTACGCCGCCAGTTAACCATATGCTGCCCACCTAGGGAATATATTCGGGTTTAAAAAGGGGAAATACCTGCTAACTTGTCTTTAAATCTAGATAAAGTTTACGCGATACAAGGCTGCAATTTATGAGAATAACCTAAAGCAGCGTTTCTTAAACTGCGGATTGCGACAAAATGAAATCGCGAAATTTTAATTCAGATTCATAAGTTTAAAGAAATATTCCCAGTACATTCATTACCTTTAATTTATTTCATTTTTTGTACAGCGAAATTATAAAATCGCAGTACTGGCCAAGTTGAGCTGGGAATTATACTTTCACATTGAAAACTGCCGTTAAGTGCATCATAGTAGCAATACAGCATTTAAGTTATTTGCGAATAAAACATGAAACACGAAATCATAGTATATAACGTTCTGCATACACAGGCGTGCCGA